GACAATGATACTAAATTAGGCTCCTCCTGTCTCTAACATAGTCATACGCTAGTTAAATTAGGATTTGCAGTGGAAATAGCAGTGAGTACTATAAAAAATTAGGTCACTTTGACAATATATATACCATTAAATAGTAGAAAGTAACTAAGGATTAAACCATTGTAACGCAATGCTTTCTTGGGCTCTGCCTTGAAATATTGTTGAGAAAACAATGACAGCAGATTACCTTCGTAAATTATCACAGGAAGCCACATGATATTGGTGTTAATTGACAAAATACAGCACCAGTTAAGGTCCTCCACCACCACCAGCCCTCATCTTGGGAATCCATTTCCTTGGCTTACAGGTTCACAGGCCTGTTGGGGTTGCTGCAAAGTCTCTCACTCCCACTAGTATATGCAATTTGAAGAAAACTGATGTGTGTGTGGATGAGAGCCCTTGACCTGTTAAAACCCCAAAGAAAGACTGCGTCCTCCAATATATTAATTAAAAATATATGAGATGTCAGTGCTTTCTCAGGGAAAGTTTCATATTTTATATTTAATCTAATTATATTATACACCTAAATGAGCTCTGCCCAGAGTGCATATATACAATTACATATAAACTATATCTGTCCCTCTGGAGCTCTTCCTTTTACTCCTTAATTACATATAACAGCTATCAGCCTATACCACAGTAAATTACCTTGTACCACCTCAGTTGTGCCAGAGAGGCAGGAGGGCAATGCCCCGAGAGGAAGTCAATAACAAGGTCTTGTAACTTGTCTAGAGACACACAGTGACTTTTTCTTCTGCTAGACTGTGCTTGGACCATAGGCTCATCATGAAAAATTAACTACAATTACACAAGAATTTAGAAAACAGGTTTCAGCAAGTCATGACATTTTGCTGTGTGTAGAAGAGAAGCTGCAATTATTGTGCAGCCGGAAAGTACTGAGATGATTTTAATGGCATCTGCTCTCTCTTGATTGACAGAGCATAAACATTTCAGAAATACAATCAACAGCACTGCAGCTATAGAGCACCAGGCAGCAATATTTACAAACTGCGACCAAGCTACTGCTATCAGCCACAAATTGCACATCTAGTACACTGTTTTTCTGATTTTGTTTGAGAAATGTCCTCTTTTGGATAGAGAGGTACAAGCAGCTTCACAAACACTGTCAAGCTAATAAAAAAATATTATAGAAACTCTCCTCAACTTAGTGGTTTTCTTTCACTTGCTTGAGATGTTAGGAATGTGTGGAAGTGAATAACAGCTAGAAACTTGTCAGGAGCCCTTGGCGTGCCACAAGCCCATGTACTGAGTTTGACAGTCAAATCTGCCTGATACTGTCAGCATTCCCTGACAGTAACCTGTCTGCATGGGAATCAGAACAGAGTCTGCTTTCAAAAGGTAATATTTCACATTAGGGTGTCTGACATTAATTTCTACCTAACCCGTAAGACATTTCATTTACAGGGTTAAACACAGATGTGCCGTTTTATTTAGATCATTTTTGCGCTCATTGATTTGAGTCACATTGTGACTTTTCTTACAAAAAAGCACAGCCTGCAAGTGTGTTAATGACTGGTCAGATACACAGCATGAATGCTCACTCATTTCATCCCTGATAAATCCTGCCTGCTGCCATCCACATGGATGAAACATGCTGTTCTGGACTCACAAAGACCCTCATTCTGGGACAGAAAGAGGACTGCTGGACCACAGGCTGGGTGGGAAGGGAGGCCAGGGTGGTAGCAGGAAGAGATGCAAGCCAAGAAGGGAGGAAAGAAAAGAAAAGCACTTGTGGAAAGAACAAGAAATAAAGTGAAGACAAGTGAGGACTCTTACAGTCAACTTCTTTCTCTTTTCCTTTCTTCTAAGGTCCTCTCAGGCTTTTCCATCAACCCTTTTGACCAACACCTTCCTACCTTCTCCCATTTCTCTTTCTCGTTCCTCTACAGTGGCCTTTTCCCTCTTCTAACACACACCAAAAAAATGGTGGCAGTGAGAGAGCCTGCTCCCAGCAAGGAACAAGCTGTGGACTGGTTGGTGATACCCCCTGCCAGCTGGGAGCTACTCAAACAGGGAACTGCAACATGGTGCAGTGGTGTCTTCCCATGCTACATTAGGGAAAACTGCTGCAAAACTGTGGAAATACTGGATATCGAAGGGCAAGTATTTACCATCAAGACAAAGGAACTAATAATGTGCCAGTAAACTGCTTTGTATAAAGTCAAGCAAATCTCTCCCATACAAAATGGGATTTATATCTGAACAGTGTCCCTTTCTGTGCTTTGGTGTCTGAAACAGAGCAGCTGGGTGGAGAGAATTTAGGAAGCATTTTTAAAGAGAAAAATGTAGTTTGTGAATACAAAAGCAATAGACAATCTACTTTCTGTTGACACTGATATTACATATCAATAATATGTAACTGTAGACCAAGGAAGAAGACAAATTAAATAAGAAACAATCCCCTTTTATGTTTATTTCTTGCTAATAAGTTCTTCTACTAGAAAATTTTACTAGAAGGAGGAACATGAAGTATCTCAGTATTTGATCTCATCTGCTTTCTTCAGGCACTCAAGACTTGTGACACTCTCTAGTACCAGTACATGTTACAGGACTGCAGTTCTGCCTTGAGGGGAATATATTTTGACATGAAACACATCTCACATCCTGCTCCTGGTACACCTATGTGAAATCAAGGTGCTGGGTTTACTCCAGCAAAGGGAACAGAAAACAACAAAGCCATTTTTTAAGATACAAGTTATTTGAAAGAAGCCAGAATCTCATCATGGAAATCAAAATAACATACACTGCATGAAATATGGATACATACTTTACCTTCTGATACATTCCGAAAGACATGCCCCACTTTGCTACAAGCTGTATCTATGCATAAAAAAGTCAGAGGAAATTAAACAGTGTCACAGCCTTAAGACTGATTCATGTGTTTGATCAAGAGCTTATCAATTTTATGACAAATTACCAGTCAGTAAAATTTAATACAAAAGGTTTTATACTCTGTGATCCTTGGGTAATGCTTGATATATAAAATGAGATATTTCAGTAGCAGGTATTTTTCAACTACTTAATACAAATTTCTTGCAGTTTTTGTTGAATTACAATATTTTTCATCACTTTTGACTTCAGTGGTAATGTAATATATCTTTATATGGAGACTACCAAGAAAGTTTTTGGCTAGAGTAATTTTTATGCTGTTATTCTGCTGATTCCCAATAGATTCATATGCATATACATAGCCTAAAACACATTTAGGCTACCTTTCCCTTTTGGTATTCTTGCATTGACTATGGGAAGAATTATCCCTAATTATCTGTGAAGCATCACATACACTTACAACACTCAGCAAGTAATAAGCCAAATTTTGAAGTTTCTCCAAAGCTCAAAATATTCTCTTCAAATCCCACATCATTATATCAGTACACAGCAGTCACAAGGGACACCTCTTTTCAAGGTATAGGTTGACCCATACTATTCTTTTTTTGTTTCTCCATCTCAAAAAAAGGTTAGAGGTCTGTGCCTCAGTAAATATAAGTGCACCTCAGCTATTTGCTTATGTATTTTGTAACATAAAACCTGTCAGACACCTCAGAATTCAACCCTCTGCAGAGCCTAAAATCAACTACTGTCTTCTGGTTTTACTCAGTCTTAAAGTCAACTCCTACGGAGTTTGATCTGCCTGAGAAGAAACTCAGTAAGGGCTTCATTATTTGACCCAATAATAAAAAAAAAAAAAAAATTAAAAGTGAAGTCTCTTTAAGGAAAATATCAACATCACACTATCTTCAATTCTCCATTGCCCTGTATCTAGTTTAGTCACTAGACAAATGAAAGAAAATGAGTGTTCAGAAACACCATAGACTTCTATAAGATCCTTGAGTTTCTCCAGCACTCCTTTATGCTAGGCTCAAGGGTTGGCTTTCCTTTTAAATAGGCCTAGAAGATCCAGTTGGAACCAGAGCAGGATTAGCTGGCTGCATATGAAATCCCTGGAGAGGAGAGGAATGCATAGAGCTGCAGCACTGTGCTGGGCAATGAGCACTGCTCCAGCCCATAGCACAAACCAGGAAAGCTGCCATCACCCACAGATGAGCTCTAGAAAAAGGAGCTCAGACAGTTTCATATACAGATGCCCACACGCAGTGCCCACCCTACATCTCTGAGGGGGGCTATATGGTAGAGGAGAGTATGTCCACATATCTCCATTGCTTGGCATTACAGCCCTGGACTGAGAACCAGTGCAGCCGAGATGCCACTCACATTTGCTCCTACTACTGAGGCAGTAACCTCCAGCAAAGGAGCAGTGCTGACAGCAGGGAGCAATGACTTGACCAACACAGACGTCTGCTTCATTGCCCACAAAACAAAGCCTCTGGGGGAGCCACCACTGTGGTCTTAAACACAGCAGGATCCTCTCCAGACACCAGAATTGCTCAGGTTTGCAATGGAAGAAGAGGTGGCTAAATGGTACAATATGCTCCTGTCCTGCCTATACTGGACACTTCATCCAGGGACTTGTGATTTAGATCCTTCAGGACCTGATAGAACTTGACCATGCTGGCCACTGGGAAAAATATAGGCACAATGGGATTAATTTATTTTAACAAACTAAAAATGTATTGTGCTTTTGGAAAGAAATTCATAAATATTATGCTTCCGTGGAGTAAAAACAATATGTACCAATATATTTCCTGCCTCAACTTAGAAAACAGGTTCCCAACTCCAAGATTACATAAACGTGCCAGTAAGCACAGTTTTACATGTACGTAATTACTTTTTTTTCCTGAAGTATTTGCAGGTAAAAACTTCACTGACCTGTGTGATGGTTTTTATATGTTTGTAATATATCTCTACCTGAAAAGCAGCAAATTATAAAAGCAGATTTTGTATAAGCTATGAGATTGTTGCAGGAGAAAAAAACAACCAATTAAAAAAAAAAAATAAAACCAAACAGACACTGATCTTACTTTAAAACTATTTTCCTGACTTTTTCTCCCAAAAAATGCATAACATTAGTTGTGTAAAAACTAAACTGCCATATGAGGCATATTTTAAAGCCTCATATAAACAATGAAGCTTTTATGGCATCCTCAGAGCAAAGAATGTCCAAATATGGCTGAGAGTTAAGTACCCTGAGAATTAACTGCTCTTAATAAATTCACTGAAGTTTGTAAGTCCACATTTACCAAGCATCAGAAGAGAAATAAAGGGAAGAGAATGTGATTCAACTCATTTTCCTGTATCATTCTCTAAAGATGTTGTGTTATAAACATCCTCCATATCTTGGATACTGGAGGCGTCTGTTGAATCTTGGTCACTGACTACAATTCCTACTGAAGAAAGGCTAGAAATGAAGGAGTGCATCTTTTTTGCATAAATATCCCTAATGTTAAAATAAGGTAGGTCATTACATTTCTCTTTGTGATCATTGTTGCATTGGTCTGGATCAATATCTTTTTGTTTTTGATAGTACTTAGAAAACTTATTGAAAATAATGGTGATTGGAAGTGCTACCACTAGTATCCCACAGATAATGCATAGGGTGCCAAGCAGCTTTCCAGCAAGCGTGACCGGGTAAGTGTCCCCATAACCAACAGTGGTCATGCTGATGGTTGCCCACCACCAGCAAACAGGGATGCTGTGCAATTCTGATGAGTCATCATCTTTCTCTACTGAGTAGACAAGCACTGAAAAAATAGAAATCCCAACAGACAAAAACAAAAGCAGAAGTCCAACTTCCTGATAGCTATGTCTCAAAGTGGCGCCTAAAGACCGCAGTCCTACAGAGTGCCTGGCCAGTTTCAGGATGCGAAATATCCTCATTAACCGCAGGATCTGAACCACTTTCCCCATGTTTTCAATATCTTCACTTTCTTCTTCCTTCGTGTCCACGGCCAACGTGGCATAAAATGGGATAATAGAGACAAAATCAATTATATTCAGTGGTTTCTTCCAGAACTTCTTTTGACTTGGAGCAGTGATGAGCCTGATCACTAGCTCAGCAGTGAACCAGATGATGCACGTAATCTCCACAGCTTCTAGCACAGGGTCTTCAATCTCCCTGTCATTGGCATCCAGCCTTTGAAACTCTGGCATGCTGTGAATGCACATGGCCACAATTGATGCCAGGACAACACTCAGGGACGACACAGCAATTAACTTGGCAGACAAGCAGTACGCAGGATTTTCCATTCTGATCCAGATCTTCTTTCTTATTTCACCAAAACACAGATTGTCAAACTTTTCCAGCTCTTTATCAAATATGGATGACTCTTCGTTAGAGGAGTCTATACTTCTGTCATTGCTCTTCTGATCCCAGTCTTTCTCAGGACCTTCTTCTTTCCTTTCTTGGTACCGATTGCTACAGCAGGAATCAATAAACAGCTCATTTATCCCCCAGTACTCTATTTCCTGGCAGAAGGAAAAGACACAAAGTTCTTCCATGACATGAAGTTTGCCCGTATAGTAAAAATTCAGAACATATCGGAACAAGGAAGGATTCCTGTCAAAGTAATATTCCTTGTCTGCAACACTATAATCATCACACAGTTCTAGAATAGCCTCTTCTGAATGGCATTTGAGAAGTTTCCCAAGTCTGGTATGGGGGAATCGGAGCAAGGTGCTTTGATCCACTGATTGCTTAAAGCCACCTACATTCAAATTGATAAGTTCTGCATCTTTGCCAGGTCTGCGGAAAAATTCACCATAAACCATTTTGAACAGACGAGTTCCACTGCTGGTGCCCAATAAGATTACATTGAACCTGAAAAGAACATAAGATATCATTAGAGCTTTTAATTCAGTTTTGCTCTTTTCCGTTCTTTTTTCCATCTCCAGTTACTGTGAAAAGCTATAAGCAAAAAAAGAGGGGAAAAAAAAATAAAAGAAACTAAATGATGAATAAGAACACCTAATTCATCAGTAAATAATTCATCAAATTCATCAGTAAATCAGTCTGAGTTCTACTATCACATTGAAATTAATTGTCACAAAATAATTTTACTCCAATGACGTAAAAAAATCTTTAGTTTAAAGACAGTAAACTTGTCAATGCATCAAAACATTTAGGACAACACTTAAGAGTAGGTGTCTTTCAATTATGGTTTCAGTAGAGTTGTATTGATTTATATGATGTTGCAATTTATAATCCACTACTTTCAATGTTATCTGCTTGAATGTGGACTTCAATTACCTCTGTTGTCATATCAATTAATTTCTTTCTAGAGTCATCCACAGAAGACCATTCTGTACTCTTGAAAACATATCAAATGTGCATTTGAAGCTTTCCAACTCCTGACTTCAGAGTTTTGTCTAGTACATATTTGGGTATCTGCACTCCCTCAATGTATTTTTCTACCTGCCTTCCTACTCACCTGGAGTGTCACAACCCTTTTACGGCCTTGGTCAGTTCCAGAAGCAATTCCTATTCTGTCACAGCATAGCCACAACAACTACAATAATGCTAAGAAGTTGGTGTTGAAATGCCATTTCTGGAAACAGGAGCTTCCAGAGATGGAACTTCCACAGAAATTTTGCCTCAGCAAGAAACTGTGGATAGATGCAGATAGACATATGGACATTTAAATATTTCCATTATTTTACTGTATGTTACATCATTCAGCTGAAACTGAATTCAAAAGGGCAGATATAGTTACTAGCAAATAAGTTATTTTTTTCAGGAGAATTTAACTCTTGTTTTCCTTCTAAGGAGCACTTGTCTCGAGCCAAAATTGGCCATTCTTACACTTGTTATGAGATTACATATAACTACTGATCATGAGAAGAGCAAATTTTTTTGATCTCTGATGCTTAACCATTAATTGATGTATACTAAGTTAATTTATTTCAATTTAATATGAAAGTCGACGTATTTTAAATGTGACGAGAGCATCATAATTCTCCAGTCCTAACAGATAGACCCATATCATGCAAAGAAATTGTTCTGGTGCTCTTTAAGGGCTTGGGGAAGCTACTCAAGGAACAGACAGTAATTTCTACACCTGTCCATCTTCAGTGCCTCCTGCAATAGCACCATTTATAATTCAAAGTTGGTACATGTTAGAGTTTTAATATTTTTTTGCTGCTCCTCAAGGTCGCCTGACTCAGTTAATGAATGTGATCAAGGTTATATCTATTACCCTGTTCATAGTGTGTGCACCATGGTTGCGTCCCTGCTGTATATCAACATGAGAGAGGAGCACTATCACTGCTTTACATAAAAGAAACATTTTGGACATTTTACACAAACAGGAATCACTGTAAACTTTAATTAAAGTGCCAGAGTGGATGGCTGGGATACTGGGCCTCAAGGGTGAGCCCCATTTTACACTGACAGAACAAGTAGGATGCAAAAGAAAAAAAATAACCCCACCCCACAGTCTTTATTCACTGTCAGCTAGAACAATTCAGCTTTCATTCAGCCTCAGGTACATGTATTATTGGACTAGGTTTTTTGAGCCATATAGCCCCATGCCCTGAATTTGTAAAGATAGCAAGTGCTTTCTTTCTGTAGCTTCAAATACTAGACTAGAGCCATGGAGTCTTGTGGAGAAAGGAAGCCTCAACTGAGCTGAACTGACCTCTTGATATGAATCACCTGTGAGTACCCTGAACAGAGATAAGTCTGCACCTCCACCACTGCTGCAGCTCCATCGGTCACCAAAAGAAACTGACCATGAAACTTCTTAGGCAACTCTATTTAATCCAGAACTGACTTCCTCATCATTTTTAAAACAAACTGACTGAAGTGGTTGCATCACGGAGGTAGAACAACTTTCCAGCTACCAATCCCAAGTCTATCGTCCTAAACGGGAGGATCCAGCTAGGCTGCTTGCCTTGGATGGACCCACTCTGCTGAAGAGCTCCCAATCTCCTTTTACTGCAGCAAGACCTAAATGGAGACAACCCCATCCTGCTTCACAGTAGGGTCAGCCCTCATGCTCAATGTTATCCTTGTCACTTGTTGATTATAGCAAAAGATGGAAATGGGAAAAGCCTTGAAAACTGGATTCAAACTTCTGATTAAATGCCAAGGAGAGAAGGAAATGGAGATACAGATCCATGCTGAGAGAGAAAGCACCAAACTGTCCAGGGAGCTGAAGAGCTTACCAGCCAGAGTTTGAATCCCTCCAGCTGAGACTCTTTCATAAGTATCTGTAAAATGCAATGATTTGTTTTCTCTGTGATGAAGAACACCTACTGCTTAGAGGAGCAGCAACTCCCTGCAATTGCCATGAAGGAAGGGACTTCTGTTGCCTTCTTGCCTCTCTAGTGCCTTCAGGATGGGAGTGAGAACAGAGAAATAGATTAGTGAGAGCTCATGGTGGCAGGGTTTCAGGGCACGAGTTAAGGTACACTCCAGAGTTTTTTAATACAGATCCATTTATCTGTTTAGGGGGAGGTTTCAAAGGACTTTCTCTGCCATGATCTTCTTACCTCATCTTTAACTTCCTCACATGCAAGGGTTTCTTTAGGTATGTCACAAATATCACTACAGATATACTCAGTGCTGTTCTCTCTTACTATTTTCCTAGTATTGATTTTTGGTAGACAAGTAGGAATACAGGGTCTGATGCTATAAACCTCACGTATTCTACTACTTATTCTTCATAGGACTCATTCTAACCAAAGCTACTGAAAATCTCATAGTAATCTCCCTAACAACTACTGGCATGTATAACACATGAACAACTAGGCCCAGAAGATGCTGAAACTACATATTTGCTCTGGTAATTAATTCTGCAAAAACAATTCTCTATCCAGAGAGAGCTTTATTTATAGTGAAACAATAATATTATTTTGAAAAAATGAGAAGAAAGCATTTATTTTTCTAGACACACTACAACTCCCTTTAAACAACTTATCTTAAATCCAAATTAGTTTGAAACATTAATTTTACTGTGTGCATAGCCTACCATACAATCAAGATAAAGTTCTTGTTCTGCTAAGACACAGGGGCATGGGGAAAGCACTACATGAGACACTGTTTTCTAACCAAGCAAGCCAGAGAATAGCCAGTTTCTATGTCATGATAAACTGTGTACATAGAAGTGATTTTACACCTTAAGACATAGTTTGAAGACAGGTATTTACTAGCTAACAAAATAACTGTAAGACACACTTGCTCCAAGCATTTCCCAAGGCTCACCTTTTAGCAATGATTAATACATAAAAGCACTGATCTCTACTAACAGATGAAGGGCAGCAGGACTCAGCTGATAAATTGTACCACACTTCACTCACGATCTACAGTCAAGCTGTATTTTACAACACTGTAAATTAAAAAAAAAAAAAAAAAAATCTGACGGACTGGGGTGACTAGACATCAAAGTATGTTCAAAACCAAAAAGACTCTACTTGATTAATTTCAGTGAGTAAAATCTCTACTTCTCTTTCAGCAATTCATTAAGATGATGGCACTGGCAATGTAAACTAGTACTATAAAAAACAGCTAAGATCTCAGATTATCTGGGGGCACTTCTGACCATAACAAAAACAAAACAAGTTTTACTCAGAGAAAACTAAAGCAAGAACTTAGTGCTCAGCAAATCCTTAGTACACTAGACTCTGACTTCCTGTTGAGACAGCAATATAAAACCATATTGATTATGCAGATGATATTCATAATGGTGCCTCCATGTAATTCCTCTACATAATAAATTCAGTGAGCAACAATTTACTGCTTTGTTTTGAGGGCACTGTAGTCATAATTTGTGCAAGATACAGAAAGAAAATGGATCTTGCTCTAGGAAGGCCAAGGTCTGGAACCTAATATAATACTACTATTAAGTGATTTTTAGATTAAGACAAGAATGCACAGGAAAGTTTCATGACAACTATGCCAAAAGGAGCTTCATGATCTGAAGAATGTCTTGGTTGACCTTGGTCCCTGAGCCGTGGACCAGGACATTGTTGTGCCAGGCAACACCAGAACAGTTTGTGGCATTTAAACAAGGGACTCCAGCCACAGGGCAAAGACCACAGATGGCAACTTCTGTCTTAGCACAACATGCTCTCTACTCAAGGGAACCCTTTACTCACTCAACCAACTTTTTTACTCAAGGGTAAAACTGTGCTCAGCTGGAAACGATGTTTTCCTGGAGTGACAAAGCCTGTGTCATGAATATCCTAAGAACATTGAGCTACCACAAACTTGCAGCTCTCAACTTAAAGTGCAACATTAGCCTCTTTGATCTTCTGTAAACAACAAGTATTCATATATAACATAATAAACTGCTAACCATTCCAAAGCACACACTTCTTCCCCTGGAGACAGTATAAGAGAGTAAGCAAACACATACCAGATGTTAGTTACTTGGTTGCTTTAATTGCTTCAGTTGTTTCAATGAGCTACTGGGTAAGAACTCATATAGAATAGAAAATGAAACAAAACACAAAAGAAAGATGCTTACTGGAAGAGTCAACATTATTTTCTGAGATGATGAAAAAACCCAGCAAATAGAAGTTCCAAATGTTGAGCTTGAGGGCTAAATAAAAGCCAGTCATAAGGAAAGCTGTGTGAAAAGGATACAAACATTAGAATAAAAATCAAAACAAGAGGATCCAACTCTTCCCAATCCAATTTGGAGATGGGCTCTAGCCAGTGTTTCTGCAGTCATACATTGTTGGTGAGGCCACAGGCCCATTGTCTGGCTTGGAAGGGAGATTGCAAATTTCTGGGCTTTTGCATGCTGTGAAATCCCTAAAGCTCACAAAAGGAGATCCACAGAGACAGAGTTTGTATATATAGTCCTTCTGAGAGAG